TTACATATCTGTTATAACACAACAACAATCCTAGTCATTTAGCGTGAATTTACATCTCTGTTATAACACAGTAAACATCCTAGTTATTTAAATTGTAACATCCTAAATAAATAGCCTATATTTACATATTCCTGATATAAAATGAAACGATTACGTGACATCGGTTTAACCGACTACACTTCCTCAACTACATTCAATGATTTTAGTCAGCCATACAATTGTACAAAACGTTTTAACAATCTACACAAGTATGCAAGGAAATCATATACACTGCTGATTTATTTCCCTGTATGCATAACAGTTAGGTTCTCTTTCTCTCTTTTTTTTGTCTTTTAAGAACTCATTGCCTTTTGTCATATGATATAAAAAATTGTATCTTCACTATGATCTTATAATTAAATAATCGATCTTCTGAGAGTCCTACCCTGTTTAGTTTCTCTGGTCCTTAATCTCCCAGAACCGACCGTGGAGTGGGGATACTTATAAATGACCAGTTTGGCCCCCATCTCTGTAGAACACATATTCTTTACTGAAACTCACGCCAGCCCAAGGGATTAAACACATTGTAGTATCTAACCTAAAACGGAAACAATATTTAAAATTATAACAAATGTTTTCACGACAATTATGTTTCAATTCCTATTCAATGTACAGTATCACATTATTGAAATATAGTCTATAGAAATCAATACAACGACAGAAACCGCAAGAAACAATAAACAAAACATAAGTTATAATGTTCTTGTGAGTATTATTAAGCATTCTATAGTATTGAATACTAACCAGGGTTAGACTAATATACAATTCTTTCATTGTAAGTAAGGATGGCATTTGTAGCTGCTTTGATAAGAACATAGTTTCCTCTCTAGGAACAAAGAGGGGGGGGGGGGGTCTAAGCTAAAGAAGGAAATGTTGAAGTAGTAATTGGTGTACACATGTTTGGTATATGTTGATCAATCTGCCCTAGATAAATAGGCGTTAACATCTTATCTAGCGTCATTAGATAATACTGTGGCATCTGATCTGGAAAAAAAATATATGCATGCAGTTAACAAAACATCATTATAACTCTGAAATAAAAAGATAGCATGACACTTTAAACATGCCGTTTCACTTGGAAATGTAAAAACAGTACCTAAGAGGGTTTCAGTGCTCTAATGACGGATTCGGTGTCCATGTCGCATTCCCGCATCGCCAGGAGAAGTGCATTTACAGTTGGGCGCGGCTTGGTCTCCTTAATTAACGCTTTCAGCAAAGCAGTGATCTTCACTCGAGTTTTCTTGTTTCTGTAGTTGTCGTCAAAATCATCCACTGTTTTGGGCGGTAACCCAAGCTCAAGGAATAGGCTGAAATATGATTTGACATCCACATGATCAGCAATGACTAGAGCATCATTGTCAGACAATTTCGTCTTTAACCATCTCTCTGACAATGCCTCGTCTGTAAAAAACGAAAACAATTACAAAAACCATAAAATAATGAGCGTTTAATGAGAGACACCGACAAATACACAAACAGCCGACGAAGAAAGGCATCTCAATTGTTTAATTAGTTAAGGGGGAAAAATGGAGAAATAAACATAAAAAATGACTAATCATACGACATAACACGATAAAGGAGGATCATATGAGAGAAGCACATATGCTAAGGTATCCTCGAATATTAAGTCGCTATGAACTCTCATATCACATCGATCGATCGATCGATTGAGAAAGAGAAGGCTACTGCAAGCTTTGTTTAGTACCTTGAAACAGTATACTTCTGTTGGAGTCCAGAATACCAATGAGCATGGAAGGGTCCATTCCATGTCGTGACATTGCATCTGATATAGCCAGGAATCCAGTATCAGCCTTCGTTTTGCGGAGGTGAACGAATATCTTTGCTATGCGAGATCTAAAGGCGAGGTGACGGTGCTCTTCCATCTCCTGCTCCACTAGCGCAACTGTACAATCCAGTTCGGCAAAGAACGTCTGGTATGTACTGCCGATATATTTCGAGACTCTACCAACTTCTTTGAACGATAGCATTCTATCCGGTAAAGCCCTTGTCAAGTCTGCAATATAGATAACACCATCAACATAGCATATTTCAAACATAAATAAATAAACAATTAAAACCTATATCCTATATACTTACCGGATAATGTTGACCAGTTATTCAGTATTTGTAGAAGACTAATCAATGCTATTTCTGACAGACAAATCTCTTTGAACGACAGTTTTCTGTCCGGTAATTCATTTATCTTGCCTGTAATATTTATAACTCCATTAACTCATTTTACATATGTAATATGTTAACCGTATAATGTGGACCGCACAAGACCATTAATACAGTATCTGTAGACTATTATGAGTATTACAGAACAATGAAGCCCAGGTATGTCTTACGGTAGTTAATTACCCCGTCACATGTGATTTACACCTGCGTTATTCTGATATATAATGATTTAAAAATAACGCTTTAACAAAGTGTATATTATTTTGATCTGTCAATATTTTTTAATTGTGTATGCAAAACAACTCAGGAAAAAAAAACGATATCGTAAATAGACATCAACTCATATAGCCAGTTCTAATAGATAGTTATATACTTTCTAGTAACAGGTTATCTATTTCATAATGTGTAAATTCCCTATCAATGCCATGATTCGAGAGGGTACTAGTACAGTTCTTACTGTCAGTAGGTTGTTTTGACCTGTTTTGTGAAAAACTCGAAACGATTCTGATTAACAACACTGTATTTTAAAGTAACAATTTTTGTTTTTCAAATTTGTTTAATATCGCTGTTGAAGGGCATTGACTTACCAACATGACACTTACGGTCCCCGTTCTTCTGCAAAACAAAAAGTTAAAACGATACACTTTGATGTTATGATACTCCCAAAAAACAAAACAAGTTGCATTTGAGTAGCCTGTTTCGACGTGTCAGTTGCAATAGACGTATAATATAAAACTGGTCTCTGGCATATATTTTTTATTTAAGAAAAGAAGAAAATTAGGATCAACACAGTTCATTTATCAACGATTTTACTTTTGCGTCTGCCAGCGCTTATACATGCACATTACACTTGCTCTATAAACCGCCCAAGCACACCTTCCATGTCGAACATCAACACGCACACAATGCATATGGATATCAACGTATTGAAACGGAGTAATAAACAGGGAATGAAATAAATATATACATTCTAACTAGTTCATAATATTTGTTCGGCATTTTGGACTTTGTCCAATGCGTATATGAAGTATAATTCTTCGAAAAATCGATAATGGGGTGCACTGAAAAGAGTTACCGGCGAAATGTTAATGCTGTTTGTCGTTACGGACACATGCCGTACTAGATGTACTCGTGCAAACTGCCGGTAAGTGTTCATGAGCAGCGGACTTCGAAGTATTTATGATTTCGATTTTACATGTGTTTTAATTTACAAGATGTTTAAATGATTACCTTTTCGTCTGGGTTCTTGAACCAGATGTATAGCTCGTTTCTGTCTATGCATTCATGCCCTTTTACACCGTAGCATCTGAGAGGTGTTGTCTGCCGTAAATCTTCCACCTTCACCATCTGTTCATTTGCTGTGAACCGGAAGTCGTTATGTAGGTAAAATTGGTATCCTAGATGACTTTGGTGATTTAACTCAAGAATCCGCTGGAGAAGATATTCAATAATGCTGAGTAGCTTAATTCCAGTTCCTGTTGTTACTGAGTGATCTGTAACCGTCTTGAACATAGTAACCTTCATGGCATTGTCGCTACAGTTGATAATCATGTTCCACAGATAATCCACAGACAGGCAGGCAAATCCGCGTCGGATGAACGTTAAACCATCAAGTCCGGGCTGTTCAAGTCGCTGAAACCTGTGAATACAGGAGGCAATCATCTTGTCCCACACGGCCTGTGGGATGAATGGAGTGTCGAACTTCACACAAAGAGTGACAGTGGTAACTGTGTCGGGATCAGCAAGAACTGGACTAATTATATCGGGATCTGCAGGTTGAAGGATGCTTGGTACTATGAAGTAATCAACCTCGGCATCTACCGATATTGGTTTAGTAAGTAGTCCAAGGGTTTCCATGATGATGTAGAGTCTCTCTTCCTCATCTAAGAACCGACATTCCGCAGAACGTTCCCAAAGTTGCCTGATGAAATCGTGTGATAATACGCCGGATTTTTCATACTCCGTCCATTTAAGTCTCTGCTTGTTCGACAGGTTAGATGTATACTTTGGAGCAGTGATTATGGCTTTGAATGCATTAATTACCCATTGTGGTTGAAGAACGATGAATGGACTCTTGCTATAGAGATCAAAACAGAGGAAAGATCCAGAGAACTTTAGTTTCCTGAAAAAAAGGTTTGGTTTTAAAGATGCAATTGTATGTGTAAAATTATTTGATATATCACATGTTATGAATATTTCAACTCACATTAGAAACTCCATTACTTCAACTTCTGCTAATGGCACTGCTGACTTGCTATTGATTTCTAACAAATCAGTATATGTCAAGATAATCCTGCCTTCATTCTTCAGTCTCACCAGCTGGTATTCCAAGGCAACCCATCTTGCAGGTACTGGCTTCATCCACTGGGACTGGAGGGGGGCAATCGATATGATCTTTTTCCACACCCGCTCGTAAGTATCTAGATTTTTAGTGGAATCATTCAGATCTGCTATGGAAAACATTTCCTGGACGTGGGCTTCCATAATTTTTCGGATTTCAGGTTTCTCGTTAAGCTTTTCTAGCACGGAGGCAAACATCTTTTCCTGTTCTTCTTTCTGCGTAGAAGACCATACTTTGATAAATTATAAATGTTTCGCATCATAAAAATATAATACATCCTACATTAAAAATAATACATGATAATAATCATATACGCTATGTATATATACATGTACAAGCAGCCAAAACATTGCAAAAATAAATAATTGTTAAGTCATGAGTTCAACAACAACAAAGTTAAAATATTTATCTGAGGTAACAACGTACATTGTGCGGCTGGATGGCTATCATCTTATTTTTATTTTGAAAGCGAATTCCATACGTCACATATGTCGTATATCATTGTTGATTTCGATAATGTTTTAAGGATAGCATATTGTCTCCTGATTGTAATATCATGTTAAACTCTTATTTCATCTTTATAAAGTTAAACGTGTCTCTTTATAAAATATACCTATGGAAACATATAAAGTCCTTTGTAAACCTAATTAGTATAACCGCTTTTATAGTTTTCCTAACATTATAAAAAACTGCAAGAATTAATCAACATCCGTATTGATTATAGTTACATATACAGTTATTTTCAGTTTCAAAAAACTTACATTTTCAGAAACACTGTCTAAATGAGATCCAACAAGGATGACTGGTGGAGTTCCTTTACCGTGTGCAGCTCTGTCGATGGCATATGTAGCGATATTCCTCAGCCAGAACTCGATTCGGTCTGTTCAACAAACACATGTGCTTAACATTGTATTTACCCATTGTTTTGCTGCAATACCAAGATAACAAATGATGTTCAAGAGAGTATTGTTTAGGTATGAGTCTTTCAGGTTTTCAATCGTATCATTACCGAATAGGTTTAATTGATCTGGGACCAAATAGCCCATAGGTCGTGTAGTAATATTGCATCAAACAATTTACAAGAAAATGTACTGAGAAAATTAAAAGCAATGTGTATTGTATTGACAAACCTACCATATCCATCATTTACTCGGCTTGGATCCAGAAACATAGCTACGTCGAACACCAGGACGAAGACCATGTTGCTTGACATAAAACAGTGTTGTGTGTTATAGAACACCTTCTCCCCTCCGAAGTCATATATTGTGACGTAGCCCGTCACCTCCCCATCATGCTTGTCCTCTTTTTCTGTGCTCATCACCTCTCCTATAACATGTCTTTGTTCTTGCGTCAATTCCGGAATCCCTGCAATATGGATACAAAGTTACAACCATTGTACTGGTGAATACTTCCCATGAATACTTATCGTACAGTAAACAATCGTATAGAAAACTCTATATATAACGTTAACATGGTAACCGTCTGAAGCCACTACTGGGACTATCAGTATTTTATAACATATGCTTTGATCCAGTTATTCATCGTTGAATATTGTAAGCATGTTACTATTACGTATTTTACTGGTCAAGGACAGATTACCTCTTTCTTTTTTTCTGGATGGTAACTTTGAGAAGAACTGTTTCAGTTTCTGTTTGACACCTGTAGAGTAAATATACAACGATTATCTCAGTGACGGTATAGCAAGTATTACAAATCACAAAAAGCACTTAATGTCTCCTAAACATATAATTGTGATTATCAATATTCCAGCTAGTTATCCCATTCCCATTCTGTAAATGCGATGTTGATTTAAAAAACGATTAGTCTTTAAAGCGACATTTAATTAATGCTTTATTTAACTTATTCCTTTAAAAAAATATGTTATTTATAAAATCTCTTTTATTCGTGTGTCTTTCCACTTACTAGTTTTTTTCCTTGCTGACAACACAAGCACATCTACCGTTGGTTTAGGTAGTGTTGCCTTGCTTGGATTTATTGCACTTGCACAATCACCGTGTAGGTTTCGTGTATTTACATATGGCTGTACATGACTATTCCCCAAGTCACGGTATCGATCTATGAGACGTTTAAGTCGCTGACGACCCGTCTCCATTTCACCATTTTGATCTAGTGTCTGTCTAAACCCTGTGTCTGGGTTATAGCCTATAAAATTGACATAGAAGTCAGCGGTATCTGTTGAGCCCGGTCCACCTTCTGGAATATATTCCTGTTTAAGTTGTCGTACAAAACAAGACTTGCCAACTCCATGGTGACCAACGACAGTAATGGTGATATTACAAGTGTTTTCCACATTGTCAGCTATTCCTTGGGTATATTGCTGCTGCTGCTGCTGCTGTCTCTGCTCTTGTCTCTGCTCAATTCGTTCTAAAACACAAACACCATGTTTTGACATCTAAAAAGCTATTACAATATTCCTTATTTACTAGAACAATCCAAACTGGGCACCACTGGACCATATTACTTTTCCAATTCGTAGATAGTTTTAGATTTTAGAACGCCAGCTTTAGCATAGTTTCTGCCTCTAATGATCAAATAATCGAATCAAGTAAAACATATGTAAATTATATATTTTTCTTCAACAAAAAGTATTTGTACTGATAATAATCAATCAACAGTCTTGCAATCATTTAGTAATATAACTTACAGTAGTCGAACAGAAAAGACGATATTCCTAAGATAAATGCATTTCTTTTTTCATTTCAGCATCATCACTCAATGTTGCAGAAAAGGTCAAGATCATCAAAGACTCTGTAAGATGATATTTTGTTGGTGTCCAAGAAAATGACAAATTTCAGTGTCAATTTTCAACTTTAAGGAATCTCACTTGCCTAGTATATTTATCAGATGCAATGAAAGATGGAGGAGGAAATGAAAATCCTGAAGGGCTATATAAGACTAGAAAAATCAAAGGGAGTTTGACGCGTATTAGAATTGAGTTACAACAGAAAAAACAAGTTAAAAGAGATATTGATAAAATGAATAAACCCATATTAATAATAATAATAATAAAAAAAACACGGAAGATGTAGAGGATGAACTCGACGAGATATTGAGCAGCACGGCAGACAAAAATACTCTACGGATTATAGGTCTGGAGGGGAGTTAAGCGACCGAATCGGCATAAGAATGCACATACAGATGTGTTCGCTTTTTTAATCAAGTGTTCGAAATACCTACTAACGGAAGTGACATAGATATCAAAGAACCTACCCTCGCCAATGTCATATATATCAAAGTACCTACTGACGGCAATGTCATATATATCACAGTACCTACTTACGGTAATGAGAGAGATAACAAAGTACCAACTCACAGCAATGACAGAGATACCAAAATACTTTTTACGGCAATGACATATATATATCAAAGTACCTACTCACGGCAATGACAGAGATATCAAAGTACTTACTCACGGCAATGACATAAATATCAAAGCACCTTGTCTCGCCAATGACACATATATCAAAGTACCAACTTACGGCAATGACAGATATATCAAAATACCTACTTACGGCAATGACAGATATATTAAAGTACCTACTCACACTAATGGCGTAAATAGCAAAGTACCTACTCACGGGGATCACATGTATATCAAAGTACCTTCTCTCGCCAATGATACAGATATCAAAGTAACTACTACGGCGATGACAGATATATCAAAGTACCTACTTACGGCAATGCCATCAGTATCAAAGTACATATTCGCACCAATGGCAGATATATCGAAGTCCCTATTTACACCAATGACATAGAAATCAAAGTACCTACTTACGGCAATGACAGATACATCATAGTAAATACTCAAGACAATGACATATATATTAAAGTACCTACTAACGGCAATGACATAGATATCAAAGTACCTACTCACTATAACGGCATAAATATCAAACTACCTACTCATATCCAATGACAAAGACATCTAAGTACCTAATTACGGCAATGACAAATATATAAAAAGGAATACTCACACCAATGACATATATACCAAAGTACCTACTCACACCAATTACACAAATATCAAAATGCATACTCACACCAATGACATATATACCAAAGTACCTACTCACACCAATTACACAAATATCAAAATACCTACTCACACCAATAACGTAGATATCAAATTACCTACTCACACCAATTACATAGATATTAATATATATATAATCACACTGATGACATAGATACCAAAGAACCTACTCACAACAATGACGTAGATACCAAAGTACATTTTCACACCAGAGAAAAATATATCATACTACCTAATTACGGCAATGACATGTATATCAAAATGCCTACTCACACCAATGACATATATACCAACGTACATACATGCACCAATGACATATATAGCAAAGTACCTACTCATGGAAATGATATAGATATCATAGAACCTACTAACGCCAATGAAATAAATAACAAAGTACCTACTCACACCAATGACATAGATAGCAAAGTACCTACTTACACCAATGACAGAGATAGCGAAGTACCTACTCACACCAATGACATAGATAGCAAAGTACCTACTCACACCAATGACATCGATACCAAAGTACCTACTTACACCAATGACATAGATAACAAAGAACCTACTTACACCAATGACATAGATAACAAAGTACCTACTCACACCAATGACATAGATAGCGAAGTACCTACTTACACCACTGACAGAGATATCGAAATACCTACTCACGCCAATGACATAAATATCAAAGAACCTACCCATGCCAATAAAATAGATACCAAAAAATCTAATCCCACCAATGCCATAACTATCTAAGAACCTACTCACACCAATTACATAGATACCAAATTACCTACTTACACCAATGATATAGATAACAAAGTACATTTGTACCTACTCACACCAATGACGTATATATCAAAGTACCTACTCACACCAATGCAAAGATATCAAAGAAACTGATCACACCAAAGACATAGTTATCAAAGTAAATACTTATACCAATTACTTGGATATCATAGTACCTACTCACACCAATGACATAGATAGCAAGGTACCTACTTACACCAATTACATAGACATCAGAGTACCTTTTCACACCAATGACATCAATATCAAAGTATTACTTTCCATAATGACAGAGATATCGAAATACCTACTCACGCCAATGACATAGATATCAAAGAACCTACCCATGCCAATAAAATAGATACCAAAAAATATAATCCCACTAATTAAATTACAATCTAAATATCTACTCACACCAATGCCATAGATAGCAAAGAACCTACTCTTGCCAATGACAGAGATGTCAAAGTATCTACTTACGGTAATGACATAGATATTAAAGTACCAAGTCACAACAATGACATATATACCAAAGTACCTACTTACGGCAATGACACAGATTTAAATGTAGCTACTTACGACAATAATATATATATATCAAAGTACCTACTCTCACCAATGCCATACATAGCAAAGTACATACTTACGACAATGACAGAGATATCAAAGTACCTAGTTATATCAATAGAAAAAATAGCACAGAACCTAATTACGGCAATGATATATATATATATCAAAATGCCGATTCACACCAGTGACATATATATCAAAAAATCTTCTCACCCAAATAGCATAGATGTTAAATCACCAACTCACACCAATAGCATAGGTACCAAATAACCTACTCCCACCAATGACCTAGATATTAAAGAACCTACTCATGTCAATGACAGATATATCAAAGAAACTACTCGTGCCAATAACAAAGATACGAAATAACCGTTTCCCATCAACGACATATATGTCATAGTACCTATGACATAGTTATCAAAGTAGTTATTGTCCATAATGACATAGATATCAAACAACCTACCCATGCCAATAAGATAGATACCAAAAAACCTAATCACAACAATGAAATCAATACCAAAGTACCTACTCACACCAATGACATAGATATCAAAGAACCTACTTACAACAATGGCATAATTATCCAACTACCTACTTATGCCAATTTCATTTCATTTCAACAAATTTTATTCATGATGTTGTATGCATTGGATCGAACAACAGGCTATGCCTATATCAGTTCTCTCCTACATGCATTTGTATAAATCAGCATATAAATTAATGTAATTTATCAGTGAAATGAAAAATTGAAAAGAGACAATATACAAAACAGATATCAATGTGCAAGTCATATGGTATAGGGGAGATAACTCTAACTGCTTATGAAAGGTCACAAGTCAAGCTGTGCTACTTATTGACCTCACCAGAGTATTAAGTGGGATTTTGACATATTCCTTGACTAGAATCTCTCTGGGAGTTCAAAATCCACACAGAGTGACTCATATATACATGTAGTTGAATATAAGGCTTATATAATTAAATATCGAGAATAATCTATGTCAATATTGTATGGTATATTAATATTCACATTATATTACATTGATAATATAATTATACAACTACTTGTTATTAATTACAAAACACAAGTATATGTTGATTTAAGGGGTGAGTATATCATATTCACACTGTGTTTATAGAAAGCGATTAATGATATTTATAACCATAAGCATGTTTGCTGTTCATGTTTACAATATTAGATTATTTATAGTACATTATAATATAACTTGATATAGATAATTCTAGTTATATAAATCTTTTTGAGTTCAAGATAAAGGTTGAGACACTCTTTAGGATATTTGTATTGGTTTCATTGTCACAATGATTACAACCATTTAGTAAAGTATGTAAAGTATAGTGCGAATGATTATCATTGAGTAGAGTAGCAGAGAGTACTTGTCTGTGATTGTTGTATCTGGCACAGTCAAAGAAGTATTGCTAACTTGTTTCCTGTATATAACCACACACACATGAAGCAGATTTTAATATATGGTCATGAAAGAGATAAAAGTTTAAGTTGCTAGCATTATTTCTAATTTGACATAGTATAACATTTATTTTTCTATCACCAGAATTGTTANAAGAGATCAAAGTTTAAGTTGCTAGCATTATTTCTAATTTGACATAGTATAATATTGATTTTTCTATCACCAGAATTTTTTACCACTGTCTGAGTATCATTATTAGGTATACTATTAGTTATGTTAATTAGTTTCTTAAAGTGAGGAAGAGATTGAGCATTTAAAATATCTGGGTCTAACTGATTGTAAAGTCGAAAGGTTGAGGGAAAGAAACTATTAAAGTAGCTGTCAGTTCTGCATACAGGGGGGTTAAAAACTCTATTTAGTCTAAGCTGATATCTCACATTTGTTAAATCATTTAAAAAAGGATCAACTATATCATTAAGGTACTTTGGTGATATATTGTGCAATATTTTATATATTACAATTAATTTATTTTTTTCCCTCCTATCTGC